TTTACACAGAGGAAAAGAGCAAACAGGCTCAACAAAAACAACCCACCGTGGGTAGTAGTAACCCGGACAACCACACATCTAAAGGTCAGAGACAAGAAACTGTAACTTTTAGGAATTCCACAACACCACCGGCTAAACTGGAGAAACATAACACATATGGAGTTATTAAAGTTTACAATACTTACAACCAATACTCAGGATCCCCACAGTATCAAATCAAAGGAATGGCGCTAGACAGTAACTGAAAGACATATAAAGAAATCCAGCACATATAAGTCAATACAAACCTCATGTTTTCAGTTTCCAGCTCCTCTTTCTAGACTTCAAAGATAACTCTATAAAACACCTGCTTGTTAATGGACACACGATATATAAAGATATAATTTGTGACAATTACAAAAAGTAAGAGGCAGAGCTGTGTAAGAGCAGAGATTTTATATACTATTGAAGCTAACTTGGAATCAATTCAAGTCAAGTTGTTATAAATGTATTGTGACCACCTAAAAATATTAAAGATGTAAACAAAAGAAATAAAAATAGTATCAGAATGGTACATACACAAAAACAAAGGAATATACAAGAAGGCAAAAATGGAGGAAATGGTGTAAGACATCCAGAAAGCAAAACAGCAGTAGTCCTCTTATCAGTTATTATTTTCTATAGATAAAATAAATTTTTCTATCAAAAAACACAGATTAGCAAAATGTGTTTTCAAAAATGTTACAAGGGGCACAGGATATGTAGCTCAGTGATTCTACCACCTGCCTCGCAAGCTCAAGATCCTGAGTTTGATCCCAGGTACCAAAAAAAAAAATTCTAATGGTATATTGTGTACAAAAAGATTTACTTGAGATCCTGACACACAAATAGCTTGAAATGAAAAGATGGTTTGGAACATTGAATTATGTCCCCCCCAGAAAGAGACAGTGAAGACCTAACACCCAACACCTGTGGATGTAACTTTATTTATAAATAGGGCCTTTAAAAACTTAATCAAGTCAAGACAAGGTTTTTGGAGTGGACCCTAATCCAGGATGGATAGTAGGCTTGTAAAAAGATGAGAAGAGGTAAGGGAAGAAGGTGCTGTGGAGAAGAGGCAGAGACGGAAGTTATATATTCACAGCAGTGAAAGGGCTGGGGCCACAGAACTAGAAAAGGAAGGAAGAAGGCCCCTGTCATTGAGGCCTCTGAGGGTCCAACAACACCTTGATTTAAATTTCTGGCTTTTAGAACTTCAGGAGACAAATTTGTGTTATTTTACACACTCTGTGATACTTTGTTTCAGTAACCCTAGGAAACTAACACAGGACAAAGACATATTGCATTAAAATAGTAATCAACAAAGAGCTATAATAAACTAATATTAAACAATTTAAATAAAAAAAATTATAGGAAACCTGGGATTTAGCTCAGTGGCACCTTGCTTGCCTCCCAAGAACAAGGTCCTGAGTTTGATTCCTGGCACCAAGAGAAGACTAAGATGATTGTACATTGATAAAATAATCAGCTCATCAAAAAATATTTTAAAATTATATGTATATTTGCACCCAAGTAACTCAAAAATAAGAGAATCATACTGACATAATTGAAGAAATGCAGAATTCTTCAATATTAGTTAGAAACTTCACTACTACCAAAAATGTTTAGAACATCTAAAGAAAAAAAATCAATACGAAAATAAACTGTTTTTGGCAACACAGAACAAGTAGACCTGTATAAACCAGCTAGACGTAACTGACATGTATAAAACAATGCACCCAAAAACAGTCTTCTCCACACAAAAAAAGGAAAAGTCACAAGTATGTGAAATTTAGAAACACTCTGAATGAATGAGGCAGAGAAGAAATTTCAAAGAATATTGGAAAATACTCTCTTAGAGATGAATGAAAATATAAACACCACCTACCAGAACTTACGGGATTCAGGCAGAGCAGGGTCAGAAGAAAATTCGCAGCATAATGATCCACAGATACTCCTCAACTTTTAATGGGTTTAAAGTCTAAACATAGCATAAGTTGTGAATATCATGTCACAAATCCATTTGATAAGACAGGTGTGGTGGTGTATGCCTATAATCATACCACTCTAGGAGGCTGAGGCAGAAGGATCATAAGTTCAAGCCCAGCTGGGCAATTTAGCAAGACCCTATCTCAAAATAAGGAAAGACAGGGTGGGAGGCTGAGGATGTACTTCAGTGCAAAGTTCACTCAGTTGAATCTTCAGTACAGGAAAAAAAAATCCATTTAAGACACTTAATTTGCCAAATCTCATAGTAGCATAGCTCACTGGAGGGTATTGCTTGTTTGTCCCCATGCCTGGGCCAGTGGGAACTGCATCTCACTCTGCACAGCATCGTGAAGGAGTGTTGTAAAGCTCAACATAGGAAAAGTTCAAAATGGTATAAAAATTACAGGTCTGTAGTCTCAACATATGAATATAGATGCCAAGATCCTCAACAAAATATAGCAAACTAAATCTCACAAAATATTAAAGTATCACGCACTGTGCCGAGCAAGGTGGTGCATGCTTGTAATTCTACCACTCTTGAGAAGCCTAGGGAGAAGGATCACAAATTGGAGGTCAGCCTTGGCAACTTAAGGACGTAGAGAGATTCTGTCTCAAAATTTAAGACACAAAGAAAGAAAGAGAGAGAGAAACAAAAGAAAAGGAAGGAAGGAAGGAAGGCGAAGGAAAGAAAGGAGAGAAAGAAAAGAGCTGGGGATATAGCTTAATGCAGAGGCCTTGGGTTCAGTCTTCAGTACAACAAAAAAAATTACACACCATGACCAAATGGATGCTTTACTAGGAATGTAAGTATAATTTAACATAAGCAATGTAATATACCACACTAATAGAATAAAGAAAAGCACAGGTGAAGAACACCTCATTTGATGCAGAAAAAGTATTTAACAAAACCCAACACCATTTCATACATAAAAACACTTAGAAAACTAGGAATAGCTCTTCTTCAATATAGCAAATTATATACTAGCAAACAGAATACAGAGGATCGTCAAGAAGATCATACATCCTGACCAAGTCGGATTTATTCCAGGGATGCAAGGATGGTTCAACATATGTAAATCAATAAATGTAATACACTATATTAACAAAGTCAAGGACAAAAACCACATGAGGGGAGGGAGGGGGTGAAGGAAGGGCAGGAACAAGGGGGAAAAAATGAGAACAAAGACCTGTCATGTAAAGGTACAATAAGTAATAATTGTACCAATAAACTCAATAAAAAGGAAAAAAATATAGCAAATCATATTTATAGCTTATCCACAGCTAACACTGTACTCAGTGTTAAAACACCAAAAGCTTTTACTCTAAGATTAGTAATAAGACACCCTCTGCCATCCCTGGAGCTGCTTTCTATCTCCATGGATTTATCTATCCTAGATTTTTCATAAGAACTGAACCATATAGTATGTGGTCTTTTGTATCTGACTTCTTAGCACATAGTTAGCATGTTTTCAAAGTTCAGACATTTTGTAGCCTGTGTCAGCACTTTGCGCCTCTGTTCTACTGTATGTATAGACTGCATTTTGCTTGTCCACATATCTGTTAAGGAACACTTGGACCATTTCCCCTTTGTCGGCTAGACTGAATAATGCTTCTGTGAATAGCTGTATAAATACCTGAGTTCTTGCTTGAAATTCTCTTCTGCACATACCTACAGGTGGAATTGCTGGTCATATGGTAATTATGTTTAACTTTTTGAGGAACCACCAATGGTATGTAAAGTATTGTACCATTTTACATTTCCACTAGCAGTATACGAGCATTCCAACTTCTCCACATCCTCACCAACACTTGCTATTTTCTGATGGTACTAATAATGAGGCCATGATACACAGCTGACCCGTTGGGTGTGAACTGGTGTCTCACTGGGGCTTTGATTTTCCTAACTAAGCAACTAAGCTGAGCGTCATCTCAGCATTTTTCATGAGTTTGTTGATCTGTCTTTGGAATGTCTGTTGAAGTGATATTCTCATTTTTAAAAACTGAGGTATTTGTCTTTTTGTCATTGAGTTATTGTTATATATATATATTCTAGAGACTAGACCCTTATTAGATACATGCTATACAAATGATTTCCTGAGTTCAATTCTGGTACTAAAAAAACAAAAACAAACAATTTCCTGGGACATAGCCTGTCTTTTTGCTTAATAATGACCTTTAATGTGTACATTTTTCATTTTAATGAAGTCAAAATTATCTATTTTTTTCTTTTATTGCACATGTATTTGGTGACATTATCTGTGAATCTATTGTCCAGATGCATTAAAATATACATGTGTTTTATCCTCTGAGAGTTGTATACTTTAACTCT